TTTTAAAAAAAAAGTTATCAAGCTCTTAAAAAATCACCCGTTAGTTATAGTTCCGTGAAGAGAATACGAACGACCTTTACGTCCCTTCAGCCTCAAAAAGAACTTTTTTTTTTGAATATCAGACTTACTTGGCTTAATGGCAGCATAACAAAGTCCGCGCTAATCGGTCCTCGAACCCGGAATGGCAGTTCTACCTACTCGGCTATGGCGATGGCCTTATCAAAAATATCCTACTTAATTATACTAGTGTTCGCTCCGCGGTTGAAATTCAATCACAAAAATTAAGGGGAGTTGAGTTGAGGTAAGATGAAGTGAATTGAAGTGAAATGAGTTGAGATAACTTAGCACTTAGCATATTATAACATAACATAGTATAACACAACATAATACAGCACAACACAACATAGCATAACATAACTTAGCATAACATAACATAACATAACATAGCATAACATAACACAACATAGCGTGTATCATTGTTCCGTTTCATCTTCCTTTATCTCTATCACTTTCTCTATCTCTATCTTTGTCGCTATCGTTTTTCATCTTTATTTTTATCTTTAAGTTTATCTTAACATATATTATATTTTACCTTTCTTTCTTCTCTTTATCTTTTTTGCATTTATCCCGATCTTTATCTTCATTCTTTTCTCCATCTACATATTCACTCCCACCATTGTCATTATATGAAATATAAAATTTGCCTTCCTCCATGTCTTTATCTTTAGGTTTCTTTACTTTTATTTCAGTATTTGCTTTTCTTCTTCTTTTCTACATATAAGCTGTACCTTCTTCATTACATGAATATTAATCTACATAAATCTTATTCCTAGCATCAATATTAAAGCCTACATTTAGGAGGCATTTCCGCCTTAACCATGTACACGTATGGTATTTGTATTGGTTTCACTTTTGAATTGATTTTTGCGCTCATTTTTATATTTTTAATTTAAAATTTTAGTATCTCTCTGCACTAGGGCATTCAATCCCGGAGCATTTTAAAAATCTCGGGATTTCGGGATGCAAAAATTCTAATCCTGGGATCCCGTGATTTTTCGGGACTTCGACTCCATCACAACTTTTTGGATTTTACAGTAGGTTCGCCTTTTTCAAACCACAAAGATTCACTGTCACCACATTTTGTCTTAGGGTAGCATAATGCCCCTTACTATGGTTATGGATCTCGGGATTGAATACCCTACTCTGCACATAAGCATCAAAATACCTTTCTAGTGATCATATTTCTATAGTGGAACTCTAGATTGTCATGAACCACCTAACCTGGCAGTTTGTGGATCTATAATTGAATATGGAACCCTGGCAGGCCATCGAGGTATATTCTTGTATTGCAATACGCCTTTTTCAACCACAACTTCCTTAGATATTTCCGCTGTTGACTTTAAAGAAATATTCCACATATTTTAACGGACACACCAAATTCAACTTCAACAAGGAGACATCCGCTCTAAAAATTAATACTAGAAGCTATTGTGTGGTAAAAAAAATAGCCTTCAAGACGCCTCCTTTTTGTCATGCTTACGATTTTTCACTTTAAATTAAACTCTTACACACTTTTCGCCCATTCACATTTGGCCACAAAAAGACTTTTCACCTAAAAGCCGATTACCCACTTAAAACACACACACATGCGCACTAAAAGCAGCCACTCGAAAGTCTTTAAAATGTCATCGTTATGCAGCAAAATTTTCACTTAAATTTCGAATAAAACTTTTTGATAGCATTTGTTCAACAACAAAAATAGCAATAACAAGTGGGTAGTTAAGGGAAACCGAAAAAGTTGCAGAAGAAGAAGAAGAGGCGGAATAATAAAGTCAAACTAACAAGCGACAAAATGGCAAACAAACAAACAAATAGAAAACCCGAATTAAGCACAGGGACGTGAAAAAGCAAAAGCAGCAGAACAAAAATTCAGTAGAAGTGCCACCAAGGAGTGTGGGTCGTAAAACGGAAATTCTGGTGAGTTGACGAAGCGTACTTAGTTTTATTTTTCGAACAAGAAAAAATGAGGACACAAATTTACGGCAGGTGAAAGCTTAGAAATTGAAGCTGAGGTGTGCGTCTTACTGAGCTAGAATGCAGAGAAAGGGGAGCAAAGTGGTAGTCGAGAAGTAGTAAAAGAAGCTAAGTGTGTGTGACTACTGCGGACTCCTTAGTAATAGAAAGGATACCTAAATATCGAAAGTTCTAGTTAAAGATTTTCCGCAGAAGACTCTGTAAATTTTTGTGTGAAAAATCTTGAGCTTAAGTGTAACTTTGGCAAGTAAAAGTAAGCGTGATTGCACGAACTTTCCAAAATCCAGCTCAAGATTAGAATTAGGTGACAAATTGGTGTGTGTCAAAGTGATGGCAAAATAGCTTAAAGGTTTACTGCGCATGAAATTTTAATTTCCATCAGGGCGCACAATGGCAAATGTTAGGTCAAAAAACATCTGGAAACCAAAATCGGTTGATACGTAAACCTTGTGTAGAGCCAAAAAACACATTTCGTTACAATTTCGCCGCTATTGAAAATTCAAGTGAAAGTTGACTGTCGCCTCAGGTGCTAAGCGTAAAGTTTCACTAACCCACTTTCGAGAAAATCACGAAAAACTAAAGCAGAAAGGAAGTACTTTTGTATGTAGGAAGTGAAAATAAAAATAAACCACAAAAATAACCGCAAGTTAAGTGACTTGTGAGGTGGCAAAGCAATTGGCACAGCAACAACTCCTGCCACATGCCAACAAAATTCACGATGATAAACAAAATAACAAGCACTTGTGACAAGTGCGGCGAGCAAAGGTATTGAAAGTGCTGGAGGGAGTTACATAGGTATGAGGCGTACAATCAGCAAATGCAATTGGCAAACCAACATCGAATAGCCGAAATTAAGTTTGCAGGAAAAACAACTGCAATCGCTGGCGTGTTTGTGGGTCTCCTGTCGCGCAGATGGCGTGACGCTCAAGCGAGTGGTTTAGAATATCTGTACGTACAGATATTTGCAATTGAATCAACTTGAGTTGGATGACGTAGAGCTTTATTTATTTTTTTTTGTATAGGTACTTCCAAGTTGACTGGGGGAAATTTAACTGCGTCACTAACTAAAAATTGCATTTCCACATGCAAAAGTTTCATATCACAGCGGGAAATACACAGAGTTCGCTCTCTCAAAAAAAAAAAAAAACGAGAAGCTACAACGCCAAAAAATATGCATGCATATAAACTTTCAATTTCACTTCGAATTACTTGCGCTTTGTCACAAAAAGTTGTGAAATTTGATTTGATAGTGCTTTATGCGAGCGAAAAGTTGAGAGAGAATGGATTTTTTTTCTATACAAACATATACGTGTGGGTATGTGACATACAATCAAAATATTCAAGGGAATCATTCAGTTATTCAGAACAGTATTTTCAGAACTTTCACTGACTGCAAGTGTATAACTTAATTTTTACTTTCACAGGGAACTTTTTTGTATTCGGCATTGACCAACTGCGCTATTTCATTGAAAAATTTTCTGTCAACCTTGGCTGTGATTTGCTTGTCTACACGTTCTCTTGCGAAGGCAAAATCTGTGTTCAGTTTGATAATAATAATATTTACTTTAATTCATTACGAATATTTTTACTAAGATTGAGTGGCTGAAAGACATTTGGACTTCAGGAACTTATGAATGTCAAAGGAATACAAACGGCTAGTCATAAGTAAGCATTTTTCTGTGCGTTTCTATCAACATCAAGTTTAAGCTTCCAGGCTTCTGCAGAGCTTTCCAGGTAGGAGTGGCTGCTGATATATCACCTGGCAGGGACCAGATGCGAATGCCATCTGTGCTTGACTCTTGGCTAGAGCCTTATGTCAGCTCATCTAACACTGGTAAAAAAGTAGGACTGCAGGACTTACAGGGTCTCTCCCGCATCGTGAGCCGGGCGTGGTCAAAGAAATTCTTTTTGGTGGGGATTCTGACTGAAACTAAAAATCACATCTAATCCTTACTGCCGCAGCCGCCAGAAAAATGATGAGGTGAAACGAGCCTAACAATTTTTATTCGGAAAACGACGAAACATGCCTTATCTAACCTACCTATGTATATAAAATTCAATAGATGCCACACAAGTTTAAAAAAAGTTGTATTTGAAATCCACCAAATACCAAAATTAAGCATTTTATGGGTTTTTGAGAAAACGTAGACGTGGCCTTTTTACACAAAACTTATTTCTTTTTTTAATTTTTTTTATTATTTTTGCTTCATATATGCAAGTTAATAAATTTACTTACCCAAAGCTTGATATTTGTTTTCTGCGTCAGAAGAATTTCCAATTATGTACTTAATAATGATTAAATAGGAATTGAAGCCGGAAACGCTGAAAAGAAAAGAAAAAATGATTATTCTTATTTAAATCTGTCATAATTGATTGAATAAATGGTTAAAAATAATGAACGTATTAAATAACCTCAATTAAATCTCGCGACACTTCAGTTTTCAATTCAAAACAACAATATTTTTGTTTGTTTATTGCTATAACTCAGTACTAGTAAATCGTTTCTGTCTTTTTTCATTAGCTGTCAAGCTCGCCGCAACAACTATATACTGTCATCTAAGCATTAGCGGTTGGTTAGCCAACATCGTTTGCTATGTCATTGAGTTTAAACTGCCGTTTCCTCTAGTCGCTCATAATAAAAATGTATGTAGGTATCTATAAATATCGGTATGCACGCCTAATCGCATAACCATCCTCTTTAACCATTCACTCCACTTCACTTCACAAGCCATGTAAGCAATTTCATTATCTCAACTTAATCTGTTTCTAATCTGTGTGTCGGACACAGTCGTGAATTTCATAATTTGATTTCTTTCTGCTCTTTGCGCCACACTTTGCAAATAAGCGGCATACATACATACAAACACATATATGAATAGCTGTAAAATAAATGGCACTTCCAGCAATAAAACTAGCAGCAATGCGAGGAAAGCAATTCAACTCTGCAGCTCAATTTCAGTTTGTGTGCTCGCCTTATCGCGCTTACATCGACATTCGCCGCAGTTGCGCTCGCAGAGCAAGGAAAGTTACGGAAAAAAGGAGAAAAAATTTGATTCAAGTAGAAAAGTTGTAGAAAAGATTAACCAGCAGCAGCAGCAATCGCAGTCAGACGAGCAGGAAGTAAAGTGCAGGCGATATTAAGCTGAAATGCTTTGCGAAGTTAAAGTTGTCGGCCGGACGCTGCAGCAAATTGGCTTTTATCGAGCGCACGAGATCAGATCGAACAAGCGACACGAAGTAACCGGCATCATTGGGTGGATGAGTAAGCGTAGCGAACGTGAATGTGGAGAGGCAGCAGGCTGCGCGTTGATTTTTAATGATGGGTGCGCACGTCGTGCTGCTCTGGCGCTTTTCCATTTACAGTTGTTTGTGTGGCTGGCGAGCGGGGTGTGTACAGCAAATGAAATGAAATCATTACAATTTAAATCGCGCTTTTGCAGGGCAAAGACAGATGCCGATGCGATAGAGTGAAATGTGGAGAAATAAAAGCAATAAAAAGAAAAAAGTAGCCAGGCAGCAGCAAAGAAATAAAAAGAAATAAAAATTATAGGAGCAGGCAGGCGTCTACGAACTGAGGGTCTTGCAAGTGAGTGAGTTGCTGTAAGTTTTAATTCTTTCTTTCTTTTTTTCGACGTTCAATTTGTTCGTGGAGTGGCGCTTGTTGCGGCTTGTTGTGGCAACGACTACTTGCTAGGATGGCGCGCATTACACTGATTCTAATTCGATTACAAGCGACACTTGAACTGATTTCTGCCTTCAACATAGAATTTTTGATTGGTTTTATAGATAAGGTCGAATAAGTCAGTGACCCTGCTTCATGGGAAAGGTAAGGATTTTTTAACAAGAACTTGCATCCTTTTCACTTTACTTTAAAAACTCTTTTTTCACATTTTACCTCCAAGTTGACATTAACAGCCGCAAGCTGCAAGCTTCTAGCTGCCATTGAGTCTTTATACTTGTCAACCTGCTTGACATCAGCGCAAATACATGCTATGCTGCCACTTAAGCGCATGCCACATACAACTTCACACAAAGTTATTGTTGCAAGCGCTAAAAAGGCACATCAGTAAGTACACTTGCTGCAATTTTAGTGGAAAGTGTTGCCCACAGCACTGCAGCAGCGAAGGTAAATAGCAAGAAACATTAAAATGTGCCAAGAGGCAAAAAGACATGCCAATGGCAGTGGTGATAGTGTGGTTGAAGAGCGAGCGCGAACTGCGGCGAAATGTGTGTTTGCTTTTCTTTAAGTAGAACATGACACATGTTTGCCGCGATTCCCATCGACCGTCTGACATTTAGCGCAGCAAGACGACGTAATAACATTGGGCCGTTAGTGGAGCAGATATAGTACATACATAAGTGCAGGAAGCAAGGCTGTCGGCCGGTGCTAGTGGAGCGAAATGGAAATGCAGGTAAGTGGGGAAGATGATTTAAGGAAACAGGCAGTTTGTGGAAGTGCAAGAAGAGGAAAAATATGCATAGGATTTGAGAGGAAAAAGGCAAATTGCGCGTAGATAGTGGGGTCCTAATAGCAGTTCACTTAACGGGTCTTCCCAAGCAAATACTAACCAGTGTAAGGACTTCTTAAGGATTGAAATATATGAGGGTACCGAGCTTAAAAGCTCTTTGGCATTAGCCGCCCATTTGTATCCAACCATAAATCTATATTGATAGCAGACGCCCTTGGAATGCGGACGCTGAGTCTACTACCAGGAATGTATTCGAGCTATTCACAGACGGTGCAGTACTCTCAATTTTAGGGACAGACTAGCACGTCGAGCAGGTGAGTACACTGTAACGAAGAAAGTTAAAATGTGCTATCGATATTAAAGACGACTATAATCGATTAGGAATAATGAGTTGACTTCTTTGTAATATGAGCCTAAAAAGTGTAAAATTTAGCGAACTTTTGTAAAACGCACGTATATATGAGGCATAATGAGTACACACAAATTTGAGAGGCCATCAGTGATGGCATTTTCCAGAGACGGGCACTCAAGAACAGAAAGCATTTAAAATGCTGTCAGCGGTGTTATTTTACTCAAAATACGCTACTCAAGAAAGCAAATAAAACGAAATTTGGATATATGTTGCAGCTATGGTAGCATTTAATGCGAGATAGCTCAGCGGTGCTGTTGACGACTTGTTGACGGCTAGTGAGTGCTTAAATGTGTAGTACAAGCAGACAGTGTGTGACTGTTGACAAGTGACCGTTGGCAGAGATGAAATGCGATTTAGCGAATTTTGAGGTTGATGGGTAAAGGAATACAATTACGAAATAAATACGGCAATGGTATTGGTAATGGTAGTGGTAATGGTAATGATAGTAGTAGTAGCAATGGTAATGGTAATGGTGGTGGTAATGGTAATGATAATGGAATTGGTAATGGTAATGACATTAGTAATGGCGATGGTAATGGAAATATAGCGGACATCTTCATATCTGCCATTTTTCAAAGTGAAAATTCGCTTCAACATCCTGTCATTGCTAAGTGCTTTCACATTTTTCCTCCACTAGCATAACACGTAATAATAAACTAGCAACATAACTGCAATTAACTGCCTAATATTACACCTCAGTTTCATTAGAAGTGCACAAAGTTAGTTTTAATTGCTCTATCATGCCGCTCCCAAACATTTAATGTTCCATTTCTTCGGTATAAATTTGTGTGATGAACATAAAGCACAGGCACACCTAACGGTAAGTTATTAAATACATTTCCTGCAACAGTTTTCGCCATCTCAGCACGTTCTTCGTATATATGTAAGTATATACATGTTTCGCTGGCATTCATAGAAAGCAGCAATCAGACATGGCAATATTTTTGCTATCAACATGAAATCAGCTTAAATTAACTGTCTGCGGCTGCGAGCATATATTGAGAATGTATACATACATATGTACATACTTGCAACATGTTTACAATTCATTGCACGCGTACACAAACAAATAAATATGCGCCAATTACAACAAGAACAACAGTTGCATGTGTTTTTTATTTCATGAAACAATAACAACAAATTCAAATATTGAATAAGCGCACGAACAATACACGCAGAAATGAATTTACGCGGTACTTGGAAATTGCAACATTGTCAACACGGTGGCATCATAAATGCCACAAAATGCGCCAATGATGAAAATAACAAAACATAAATTAAAGTAAATGCAAAAAAAAAAAAAAGTGGAGCACAGAGCGAAGCCAATGAAAACGGAAGAACTGTGGCAGCATAGAAGCTAGGGGCGTGTAAGTGTGTGGGAGCGCCAGGCAATGCCCGATGCACCACAGGCATTGTGTGGCAACCAGATGGAGTCGCCGCAACCAAGGTACTCATCAAAAATATACATACATACATATATAGCTGATGCACGCATGCCCTAGGTGTGTCTAATACATATGGATGTGCGAGGGCAACGTGCAACATGTGCAAATGTGCAAAAAGAAAAATGCGCACAGCACATATTAGCTCATACATATACATATGTATGAATGTATGTATATACATTAGGGTTATCCAAAATAAGTGAAGTCGGAATTTTAATGTTCGTACCCACTAGGATTGTTCTATATTGAAAAAATATGCCCTTAGTTTTTATTTTGAAATCTAAAAATATTGAGAGGTCGCTGAAAGCGCTTAAAGTTTTCTATGTATTTCATATAGAGGAAAAACCACTTTACGTAGGAGTATAGAATTCTTGAAAATCAATGCTTTTCGCTCGGAAAACTATGGCTCTCTTCAGAATACTTCCAATGATAATACCCAATTGTGTATTTAACCATTTTCTAATACTAAAGATATCTTATTGGTCCCCCCGTTGCATCTTCAAGGGGTTTTTCCCATATAAAATACATGGAAAACTTTGAGCGCTTTCAGCGACCTCTAGGTACATTTTGATTTCAAAATAAAAAACTGAGGTATAATATTTTTCGGTATAGAGCAATCCTAGGGGGTGATGGCACACATATTCCGACTTTGCTTTTTCGCATGCCTTTTTGGACCACCCTACTCTACATTCATGAGTATGTGTTATAACGTATGCTTACTTTAATGCATCGTTTTCTATTTTCCTTGCGTGAATTTGCAACATCGCGGTAAGTGTAAAATGCGACAAAAATAGCGCATTTAAGTGTCTACTTCATACATTGTACATACATATTCACACACACACTACGTTGTCGCATTTTTTCTGCCAAACTATTTGTGGCAAATAACTGTACATAAGTGCAATAGCGGAGCGTCATTTACTGCTATCACACTGATGGCATTGCACTTTTGGAGTTGCACGCACGGCGTTGGCTCCACCGCCATGCAACAATGGC